ACCATAAGCACTAAGCTTCTTTATGAGAATGCCTTTGAGAAATCTGTATAGACTACATCTAGTTGTGCTTGATTTGCAAAAGCGTTGATAATATTATTTGTAAGCAGCGTTAGATTAGTGCAAGCGGATGAAGATAACAAATTGGAAGCTGTGGCCCGTAGCTCGTCGTTTTTAATGTGTTCAGAACTTAAGGCGCACTTGACAAATCGGAGGAGAATCTCGGTCAAACACAAACATATTGTGTAACAACACGTAGAGATTGAGGTGTTGTCTTAAAACACCGAGGTCGCGGGTTCAAATTCCACCACATGCAATCCTAATTATATTACATATTTCTTCTCTTAAAAGCCCAATTCATATCGGGAAGAATTGTTAATAACATTATCCTTGTAATGTGAGTTTATGACATTCGATACGATACTAGGGTTCTGGTACTCGATTCCAAAAAATATCGTTTTAAAACTATCGAGTAGAAAATATCAGTATCGAATGCCAAAAGTGTTGATATGGTATCGTATCGTGTCGAAATTCGTGTCCCTAGGTGGCGCCGACATGATTTTTCCCAACACCTTCAACTGTTTATAGAAAGCCCCCATAAATTATATACAAAATGGGTACTTAATTTATGATACATATTCATTTATATTATTTACTAGCCAATGCCCCTTACTTCGCGGCGCCTAATAAGAACTTTTGCGTTGGCCAATGCAAAAGAGCGTTTAAAAGCAAAAATAGTCTGTAACTTCAAAATTTTTGATTGAAGTTGAAACCACTAAGGCGTAGTATTCTCCTCACAGATACGCCAATAATAGTAACGCTGTGATACCATATGGAATACCAATCTCTTTCGGTGTCATGAGTTTTACCGATGGTCTTATTTCCACCTGTGAGATCTCTGCCAAGCATGCGTAATCTTTATCTATGATCTTGCAACTAAAACATTGGTGCGATGCGTATGCCAATAAAAGTTCTTATAAGGAAACTCAAGAGCACCGAAATGGGTTATCTGTTATAGGAGGGCCAGGAATACTCGCTATCCCACAGGATGAAAAGTTTTCCGGTACATTGCCTAAATGAGTCGTGTGATTTCTTGAATATCTTTCAAATGAAGCAACTGATATACCTACCACGATCTTTTCTTGTTAATTCGCCACTTTTACAATCCGGGGTAATATTTATGAACTGATTTCTAGGTAGATGCAATTTCGCATGATCGTGCATGAGGGCGTCAGATAAACCTAATTTTGTATAACTTAAACATAGGCAGACCAACCACACGGAGTTTCTATACATTTCGGCTGCAGCGCTATCCATTGGGTCCATTTTCTGCAAATCCATTGATTACCATAAAATAAATACGTGTTATGAATTTCAACCTCGACTCCAGTGGCACTCATCCGGTCAATTTTTATCAAAAGAATTTTTCATCATACAGGTACATAAATCACATTTAAAATTTGAACGAAATCGGTTAATAAATACGATTTTTATAAATGACTCTACTCCGGCACCACAAAGCGAGTTTTCTAGTAGCATGTATTTAATAGGACCTTATATGTATGTAAGACAACCTCCGAAAATCTGACGAAACTCTATTCAGTGGTTTTTGAGTTTAGTCCGAACAACGAAAACGGTTATCATTTTATGCAAATAGGTATGTAGATAGGACAGTGTATAGCGAAACTCGTAAAATCAAAACTCCATTCTTTGTGAAAAATTTAAAAAAATTCTTCAAAATTTTCACATAAATTTTACCTTTTACTAAAAATTAAAAACAAAGTTACAATAGTTCAGTGGGATTTAGAAATCTTTGAGAAAATTGTTCCCAATCGAATGATACTTGCGCGCTTACGTAAATGTATATCGATCCTGCCTTTCCAATAATTATCACTTTTCGCCATAAGTACGGTATTGATAACATATTTAGCTGTGTCGAGTTTCAGGAGATTAGCGCAAGCGGTTCCAGAGATAAGCTATAAGAGAAGTTCAGTTTGTATGGAAGGTGCCACGCCCCCTTTTCCAATGCATTTGCAATATATGCATCAGTGCAAAGTTTCAGTTCCCTATCGTAATTGGTTTTAGAGATATATTGGTTTTTTACGTTTTAGTCTAAATATATAAGAATTTTAGGAATATCCCAAGCTACATACCGACTAAATTTTTGGCCGGCGTATATATTTTCAAGGTGCTGGCATAAATAAATATAAACCAAATCGGTGCAGCCGTTAAGTAGTTTACTGAAATACATTGTACAGAGAACTGCATGAAATTGTAAAGCGTGACGTCTCAGATTTCTTAATTTTTTGGCAGCAACAACAGAAAGTTCTGATTTTTTTTTAGCGAAAAACCTTCCACACAGAATTTCCAAAAAAGTGTGATTGGTTATGCTTGAACACACTTTATTGAATGCCAATAAAATCAAGTTTGTGGTTATATCAAGGTAAAATTTTGAGAACAGTCCGTTGCTAAGTCTAAATATAAACAACGATGCACTGGAAAATAATACATTCAAGTACCTAGGAATAATGATCGACGATTAACTAAAACAAAAAACAATGGATTATATATTTTCAATTAGAGCTCTAGCAATCTGTGCATCGGTGAAAACTGCATTTAATTCCATACATTAGTTTTTGTGTGATGCGCTTACAAACATACAGACAGACAGACCAAAATTATAAAAATTTTAGATTTGGCTTCTGTTGGTCTAATAAAATATTTTCAAAAGTATAGGAAGCTTATCCTCTTTAGTTTAATGTGCGTATTGTAATATTTCATTAATTTTACAAATTTAAATGAATACAATTTTTCCAGCAGTTCGCGAATCCCCTAAAAATATTTTCGGCATTAAAATTTCCTAGCCTCTTTATTTTGATGCCAATATTGCAATATTTAATTTATGCTATCAATTAAATTAAAGTTTTCAAATAGGTAGCAACCTTCCACAAAAATATTTTCAGCTGTAAGCCTTTGTAAATTTCTTTCTTTTGACAGCCATATTGCAGTATTCACTTTACCGTATCAATTGACCTAAACTGAAATTTTAAACACAGGTGGCAACTCTCTATTTTTTTTGTGTTTTCTATTTGCTTTTACACGCTTCAATTCTGTTGAATTCAAGTTTTTGGTTCTTTATATCGGAAACAACGAAAATGCCGAAAGCAAAGCAAAAAAGTTGAAACGTCTTGACGGTACAGGCGCATGTGTACTCGTCCCTTTTCTTCTCACCCCCTCTCTTCCACATGCGAGCAGAATTGAATTCAATACTGGAACTCTGTACAAGCACTCTCAGCTAGCCCTCTAGCGATACATCGGTGAAAACTGCATTCAATTCCATGTTTTCGAGTGATGCGCGTACAAATATACAGACAGACAGAGAGTCAAAAATTCTAAAAATTGTTTATTTGGGTTCTGTAGCTCAAATAAAAACCCACCATATTAATTTTTCTTTAATATATATAAGGTACAGACATCGGCCCATCACAATTTTATTATAAGTATAGATATAGATTTAATTTATTTTATCATTTTAATACAATACAATTTTTCAAACAGGTGGCAACCCTCCCTAAGAATATTTTCGGCAGTAAAATTTTCTAAACCTCTCCAGTTTGATACCCATATTGCAATATTCAATTTATCTTATAAATTAAATTAAATTAAAATCTTCAAACAGGTGACAACAAAAAAAAAAACATTTTCAAATCCAAACATTCATTTTCGAGTGATGCGCGTGCAAACATACAGACAGACAGACAGACAGCAGACAGACAGAAAGACAAAAATTCTAAAAATGGTTGATTTGGCTTCTGGTGCTCTAATAAAGACCCCCCACATTAATTTTTCTTGAATATCTGTAATGTACAGACATCGACCTGTTACAATTTTATTATATGTATAGATTTGTTTATTTATTTTATTTTAAAAGCGTAAACAGGCATTTAAAAAATACTGTACATTGGTTGACCGCTTCTCTTTTTGTCGATTTGACAAATAAGGCATTCATCGGAAGGTTTACAATTTGTATACATACACATTTTTACAATAATCAACGCCTACTTAATTGAATGAGCTATCTACTCCTGATAACGTCACGTCAGAATTTGACAAGATCATACAATGATAAATTTATTAACCCACATACGGATGTATCCAGGTGAGTCAAAATTACAATTCTGCGTAGGTATGTATGCCTATGCGCGCATGAGTATGAAAAACTGCCTGTTTTCCCATTCCCATTCGAAAGAATTTATGTATGCAGGTAAGCGAGTGTATGTGTGCCATAAATGAAATCAGGTCGATATGTACCTGTATGCGTTGGAATTTTCTTTTAGAAATTTGCTCGCTCATTAATTTCATCTATATGTACATATGTATATACAAAAATGTAGATGTTTATGTCCACCATTGCTGTGGAATGCACTCCCAGCGGTGTGCGTGCTTGTATTTAAGTATATTGCAACACTCGCTTTGCAACAATACAGGCAAAAAGAATAACAGAAAGTACGAGCGCCATAGTTCAGTATTTCCTAATATATTTGTACCGCCGCGGTAGACACACATTTCTTTCGAAATCAAGTTTACTCGACATGAGCCGATTTGCATGCCATAAAGGTACACAATTTTTAGGTAGCGAATCCAAACAACAAGCTTCGCATCAAGCTTGAGCCGTGTGTGTGAGTATTTTATTTTAGGTTGCTTATACGCTCAGCCACCCTCAGAACTCTTTCTGTTTGTAGCTCTAAATCATGCACATTTATGTACTTACATAAGTCCATAATAATGAAATGCAGGTGTATGCACAGGCATACGCTGTAAAATGCTATTTTTATCAGCCGGAAGAAAAACTTCACGTAAGCATTTACGATGTTAAATGCCTTTCTAATATTGTTAAAAATATATATTACATTGTCCAAATGCTGATCTATTTGATTTTGTGAAAAGATTTTCACTGACATATTAACGTAGTTAAAGGTTATATTTAATAGGCATGTATGTACCTGCTTTACTTCTACTATACTATGCAGAGTCCGTTAGATTTTAGCTCTTTTTTCTCAGGTAGTGAATTTTTAATTTTGATCGCCGTTTAACTGTCTGATGTTGCTGCAGCAACCAAATCGATCAAGCACTACGTCAAACTGACTGAATGCGCACCGTGCATAGCTTTCTCAACCAAAGTAGATCTCGAGGAGAAGCGCTCATCAGATATACAGACATATGTTTGTATATACGAATATGTCTGTACGTCTGTCTACACATTTATGCACACAAATGCACGCACTCGCATTATTTACAAGATTCGAGCGTTAAAGAATCGCAGAATTTCTTTAATTTTGAGCACACCCATGGGCGTAGCCAGGTAGGAGCAGGGGGGCTAGAGCCTACCTTTTAAGTAATTACAGCAGACGGCAGAAAACACATAGCGCACATAAATTTCTAAAATAAAAATAGCATATTAAGGGCTGCTAATATATCTTTTTTAAATTGTAGTTAAATCATTAGTTAAACATTACTACAGAAAAATAGGCGTAGCCAGGTAGGAGCAGGGGGCTAGAGCCTACCTCTTAAGTAATTACAGCAGACGGCAGAAAACACATAGCGCACATAAATTTCTAAAACAAAAATAGCATATTAAGTGCTGCTAATTTATCTTTTTTAAATTGTATTTAAATCATTAGTTAAACATTACTACAGAAAAATAGGCGTAGCCAGGTAGGAGCAGGGGGCTAGAGCCTACCTCTTAAGTAATTACAGCAGACGGCAGAAAACACATAGCGCACATAAATTTCTAAAACAAAAATAGCATATTAAGTGCTGCTAATTTATCTTTTTTAAATTGTATTTAAATCATTAGTTAAACATTACTACAGAAAAATTACACAGAATTTTCTGTAGTTAAGTTTAACTAATGATATAACTATATTTTAAAACAGATAAGTTAACGACCCTTAATGACCTTTTTATTTATTACACGGTGTGAAAAAAAAAAACAATATATTGCGTAACTAGACACACATAAAGACGCGCTAGTGTTTTGATGGCGAAAAACGACGCATAAAGAAAAATTTTACGAAAAAAGTCACTTCAGAAAAACTTCGGAGAAGAGAGACCCGAAACCTTGTTCACGGTGAAGAAAGGTGCGTAAACATATGTAGATTTATACCTGACCAAGACTTCAGCATCATTCCGCAAAAACTCTTTATTAAATTACATACTGTTACACCTGCAAACATAGTTGACCACGAAAACAAGTTTACGCGCCTTTCTTCGCCGTCAAATATTTTAACGGGCCATTCTTCGCCGTCAACTATGTTAAGAGTCTTTCTTCGCTGAAGTTTTTATGCGTATTTTTCTGCATACTCAAAATGTTGATCGGAAATTTGGTTTACTATACAGGTATGTAGAACTATGAATTTAAAAATATATCAGGGTTTAGTTGAGACATTCGCCTTTGCCCACTATGTTCTGTACATTTCCCAGTACTGCAAAGCTTTTGACTGCCATTCACCTGGGAGTGGCCAGAAGTGATTCGTGGGATTACGGTTCACATCGCTGCTCACTACACTGGATAGCGACCAAACAGCCGTTTGGGAGCTAGCTAAAGTAGGAGGGCGTAAAACTCCGCGACGATAAATTTGGACCCCGCACGTTAAAACCCTGCCCAATGGAAAAACACATGCCTCGGATGATACCCCCTCCTTTGATGACGATCACGGCAAACGTAGGAAGAACTATGAGGGTATGTGCCTGGTATATCCGTCTACACGGCTAGTTGATGTCCTAGGGAAAATTAAGGCAACATCACCGAAATCCATAAATGCGGGACAAGGGAAGGTAAGCGTGGAGCCCAGCGACGTCTATTACAGTTTCCACCTAAAGGAGCGTAAATTCGGTGTTAGATTTGCGGTGTGAGAGAGACTCCGTCGCCGAGTACCCGTGTTCACTCTAGTGGACGAACGTCTAGCCATAGTCCGCATCAAAGCGAGATTCTTCAACATCTCGCTCATATGTGCCAATGCCCCGACAGAAGAGAAGGACGAGGCATACAATTATAACTGTCGGGAAATTCAGACTTCAGCATTGGTAGTATGTAGTACTGGGTACTAGCAAAAAAAGTTCGATCAAGCTAAATATCTGCCTCCAGGTCGAAAAACGGTAAGCCAAATAAAGCATGTTGTGATAGACGGAAGGCATGCTTCCAGTATTTTAGACGTACGTATACTCCGAGGGCCAAACATCGACTCGCACCGCTATCTTGATGCAGCCAAGATACGCACCCGCCTCAGTAGAGCAAAAATGTGCGACCACAATGCAAGAAAAGCCCAACGTCGAAAAGCTGCAATCAAAACAGATGGCCAATTGGTTCGCCACTCGACTTTCGCACCTGCTGTGAGAGAGCACTCTTCAACAAACCGACATACGCGAGCAGTGGAACCACATTTCCCGCTCATTACCGGTACGATGGGGAGTGTCAAGAAGCTGCACAGAAAAAAGGCGCCGCCTACTGGATCACGTTGCGATCGGGCGCAACGCGAGCCATGTGGAACCGTTATAGGGAACTGAAGAGGCAAGCTAGATGTCTTTTCCTTTACTTGGGAACCAGCATAAACAACAATATTAATATTGTCAGTAGCGATATTCAACCCCTGTGCTAGTTTATGGCACGCACGACGTTGGCGACGGCGAGTATCGCAGATGATGGAACATGAGCTGTATGAGCTTTACAATGACATGAGCATAGTGCAGCGAATCAAAATACAATGGCTACGCTGGCTTGGTCATGTCGAACGAATGGACAGAAATGCTCCAGCTTTAAAAGTATTCAACGCGGCTCGCAATGGTGGAGAAGGACTTGGCTTCACAGAATAGAAACGATTGGCGCACTATTTTGATCTCGGCCAAAATCGCTAATTCGGTTATAGCGCCAAATAATAAGAAGAAAAACTTTGTTCGTCCCAGATGGATTTGCTCAAACGAGGAATGGTCTAGACCCATCAGCAATGTATGGCTGTCTTCCTAAACGCATTAATGCAATGCATCAGTCTGTTTTATTTCCAAATCATAACTCATATCGATATCCAGTATGCGCAACCTTGAAGAAATATCAATTTTTAATAAAGTTGCACACATTGAATAGTTTTATCTCCTATGGTTCAAAAATGAAAGATACGTTTGCTTTGCATTAACGCGTTTAGGATTTTTATGTAACTTCCGGACTTTATTTTTTATTATAACTTTCACAAATTGGACAGATATGGGAACATTTAAAATGTAAATCCTTTCAGGGCTTCTATATTTTCTCATCTTTACTTTTGGTATCATTTTGACTAATTCTGATAACAGTTTATTTGTTTATTTTATTGAGCTTAAATTGTTTGGAAGTTGCACTTATAAATGTTTTGCTTTAAAAATGTGCATTAACCAAGGAATTGCGCGTATTGAGGGTTGCGGTGTACGCACTGTAGTTTTTTTTCATCGGATAAACACAAGTTACGAACTAAATAAGGCTCAACCTATGAAAAACGCGTTTTTAGTCCTTAATCCCAGATTTGAAGGGGTATTCAAAATTCTAAGTATGTATGTTTTTTGTGCTTCACTATATCTATAACTTTAGCAGTCACAGTTTTACAATCCGGTTGAAATACTTGACGGTGGTACCAGGAGGGGAACGGTAAATGACGGTAAGAGGTTTACTTTGGGTTAAAGTCTCACACTGACGGGGTTAGGCCGAGACCACGAAATGAGCGGCAAAGCGGCGAGCGGCCGAGCGGTGAGCGGCTTGAAATTAAAACATAGGAAATACTACTGAAGTGGCCACGCAATGAGCGGCATTTCTGTATGGCGCCGCTCAGCCGCTCATTGCGTGGGCTCGGCCTTAGGCTTTCCATGCTTCCTCCTCATAAAAAACATGCGCAGTAAAAAGTTAACTATTTAAATCGACGAATACATAGTTTTATATCAACTTTTGTGAACTTCTGTTTATGTGCTTAGTACAACATACCTCTGTTGGTTACAATAATTTCAAGCTAAATTACACAATTTTTTAGTTAGTAATAGTTATTGGTGTTGATTTTTTTTTTGTATATGAGGGCCCCCTAAATTTCGTTCTAGCTACGCCCATGAGCACACCGAAAGGTGTTCTACAGATGCGAGCATACACGAGCATGCAGACATACATACATACGTGCGTACAATAAGATGCCCCGCCAAAAAAGTTTCAACTTTCTTTTGAGAATCCTCTGAGTTGTTATCTTCCGAAAGGACTTCCGATGAAATGTTTTGCCCTAATTCAGTGTTCTTCTTAAGCTGGAGCTACCTAAAAAAGAGTTTTTGCAAAAAAATTCAAAACTAAAGAAATTTGCATCAAAGCCTATGATTTTTTGTGGATACTTTTAGACAGAAATTTAAACAACAAACATTTTAACAAGTAAAAAAGGCCACGTTGAATATATTGAATATAGTTTTTTCCGAAACTACCGTTACATGATAAGCAGAGGTGGTTTTACACCTATTTCAAAAATCTTCGAGAGGGCACCCTGAAATTGTGCATACGAAATAATGCATATGAAAAAAACCGAAATAATGCATACGAAAAAAACCGAAATAATGCATATATGCACAGTTTCGGTTGAAAACCGAAATAATGCATATGAAAAAAACCGAAATAATGCATATATGCACAGTTTCGGTTGAAAACCGCAATAATGCATATTAGAAAAACCGAAATTATGCATATGCACTCTTTCGTTTGAAAACCGAAATAATGCATATGAAAAAAAACCGAAATAATGCATATATGCACAGATCCGGTTGAAAACCGAAATAATGCATATGAAAAACCCGAAGTAATGCATACATGCACACTTTCGTTTGAAAACCGAAATAACGCATATGAGAAAAACGAAGTAATGCATACACGCACAGTTTCGGTTCAAAACCGAAATAATGCATATGACAAAAACCGAATTAATGCATACATGCACAGTTTCGACTCAAAACCGAAGTAATGCATATGACAAAAACCGAAATAGTGCATACATGAAAACGAACTTCTTTCTGAGTAGGCGGCCTTCGGCCGCGCTTAGGGATTATAACCCCTACTAAGTAGAACTCTCCTTTCT